CCAAGATTTTTGCCCAGGGGGGGCCCCGCCACTGTTTGCCAATCAACTAGCAAAAAAAATAAAAAAATAAAAAAAATAACATCCAATTCACAAGGAAACACAAGAAAATTGTTACGTGGAAAAACCTCTTCAATGTGAAGAGATAAAAAAAACCACGGGAATCTAACGATTCACTTAAATACAATATAATCAAAAGAGTTTACTGATGCGTATTTTGACAAACATGCAAATGTAAAAAATGCATTAGTCGCAAAAAGTAATAAAGTGATAAGTAGAGTATCGTTCCCACGAGGATAGTATTACTAAGTACCGATTTCTCTAGTTTAAGTCCTATTTGAAGCAAAACCCAACAACTTAACTAATTAAACAAAATGCTAAAAAAAATGCTAGGGTGTTAATTTCACCTAGATACACTAACCTAAATTATAGAATCTATTACCCAAGTTCTAATTCCTTGATTGAAAATGGAATTCCCTAAGTTGTAAAACATACCTTCTCAGGCTATATTTTCCTACTTATCCCTATTAAGCTTCCGCACCCAACAAAATGAAGATTAATAGTTCAAAGTCTTTTAAGTTATATGGAATTCTATCTAGATTTCATAAATCGCTAAACCTATCTCTAGCGTTTGCTTAATCTACGGTATTTATCACAAGAGGCATAATCACAAATCACTTCTTAGTCTCATTGTGAACAACACACACTTGAATGGTGATCAAACATCCAAAAGTCATTAAGCAAAGAGATAAACACTCAATCATAAAATTAAAACTCAAAGTAAATCAATTCATATAAATTTGAATCATTGTATCAAGGTTACATCAAACCCTAGCTAAACAACTCAGTTCATACTAAAAAACAAAACAAAGTAACAAAGACAAACTAAATCAAGATTCATCATTGAAAAACAAGCAAAAGATTGAGAAATCTTCTCTAATTTAAAGCCCAAATCTTCAATAATCTTCTCCTTCTAAGAGTTGCCTTCCAAATGACGAACCAAGACCCTTTTTCTTTCATTTTTGTGCTAATTTATACCTCTTTCACTTAAGGACCAAGCCCTAGCAAGCCAAAACACGTCGTTTTATTTTTCACATCTGACACAGCTTCGCCACGGTGAAGCTTTTTCCTTGCCGCGGCAAGAATCTTTCGAGCCAAATTTGAGCATGAAAGAGTCTGAATATGGAAAAGTGTTAAACATATGAATTGTAGCCCTTTAAATTATCCTTCTACTCGTTGAAGAATCAGCACAATATGAGGTCTACAGCACAAGTTATGGCAGAAATACTGAAGCACATCTAAAGATGTTTTTCTTCAGTTTCTAACATACTGTTCACGACTTCAAGCCAAGTTTTCACCATTGTTCAGTTAGAATTAGGAAAAACCCAAAACATGAAAGTTGTAGCTCGACTTCTTAGCTTTCCAAAGCTTATATTTTCAGGTCATTCTGAGTTTCTAAGCTCAAGTTAAGTAATTTACGCTCAAAACTGTCATTTATGCTCAAAATCATCGTTTAGGCTTGCAAAGACAAATTAATAGAATTAGATAGCAATTATGACCTAAATTGTATGAGAAATATCCTAAATCCTATTGAAATTTAATGCAAAATCATAGGGAAAAATAGAATTATCATTTACAACAACCACAAATCCACCAAAAATATTCTACACAAATTTAGAGCTTAATCACAACTCTAACAAAAGTAAAATACACAAAGGTTTACAAAAATATGGATTACAATCACTTCAAATCAGTCTGCAGTAAAAGGGAAGTTAGGAATTGGGAAAGAAAAACTTGAATATAAAAAAGACAAAACCTAACTTTTTAATTTTTTAACTTTCTACCTTTTTTTGACCTTTTAAAAAAACTTTTCAAATTTTTTTTTTAAAGTTGAGGGCAGCCCTGGGCTTACCCTCAAGGGGCCTGGGTCCGCCCCTGGCTACAGGTTCCAAGCAGGTTCTAAACTGGGTACCCATTTTAGGTTCTTTTTCCAAATTTTGGTTCCTCCACACATAAGAACCGGAACCAGAACTGCACAGTATTGGTTCCAATAAAATGGAACCAGAACCTACCCACATAGTGTAAGTTCCGAGTAGGTTTCGATTCTGATTTTGGTTCTACCCGCAAGTTTCGGTTCTATCCGCTACCCATGCTCACCCCTAATCTCCCTTTATAAATAAAAAAAAAAATCATAAAATTTATACTAATTATAAAAAAAAATTATTTTACCTTGAAATAAAAATATTTGACTTACAATATATGATGGTAACCAAATATTATGTGGTATACTTGTTATGCTAATTTCTTTTGAAAATATTTATGATCTTCATTTAATTTTATATTTGCTCTCGTGATTAGGTTATGTTAATACTAAGTAAAGCATTCAATCAAATAAATATTGTCTAGTTTAAGTTTCAAAACTTACAATCTTTACATAGTATTAAAAACCCGCTTTTAAAAAACCTTTTTTTTTTTTTTTTTTTTTTAAAGTATATAACTGAAACAATACATTAACATGAAACTTGTAAATAAAAAAACTTATATATATACTTTTGCATGATTGTATGATAAATAGATTCCACTAAAATTAAATAATATTCTAAGAACGCTGATTGTAATTACGCGATTGAGTTTGTTTCCCTATCATACCTAAAATACATATTGGTTTCTTTATTCTCAAAATCTAATTTTATTCTATTTAACTATTTAAAACCGCTAAGATTTGTTAATTTAGTTAAACACCCCCTATAATAAAACATTAAAAATTAATAAAAACACTCACACTGACTCATTAAATGTCGATAACCGGCTACCACTATCGGACGGTAGCCAGAAGACATCGATCCAGCCAGTCTGCGCCGATATGACATTTTTCGACTAGATCCATGTGAATATTAATAATATGATGTGTCAATAAATATTTACTTAATTACCATTCTACTGTTTAATCTAACAATAAAGATTCACGATAACTGAATTTCTACCCAAAAGACCTTCACACGCNTTTTTTTGTTTAAGGTATATAACGGTAAGAATACATAAACATAAAACTTGTAAATAAAAAAACTTATATATATACTTTCGAATGATTGTATTATAAATAGATTCCGCTAAAATTAAATAATATTCTAAGAAAGTTGATTGTAATTACGCGACTGAGTTTGTTTCCCTATCATACCTAAAATACATATTAGTTTTCTTATTCTCAAAATCCAATTTTATTCTATTTAACTATTTAAAACCCTTAAGATTTGTTAATTTAACTAAACACCCCCTACAATAAAATATTGACAATTAATAAAAACACTCACACCCAGCCATTAAACGCTGATAACCGGCTACCACTATTGGACAGTGGCCAGAAGACATCGTAATGACGCACGCCCGATTAGATCTGACCAGTTGTGTGCTGATATGACTTTTTCCGACTAGATCTATGTGGATATTAATAATATAATGTGTCAATAAATATTTACTTAATTACCATTCTACCGTTTAATCTAACCGTAAAGATTCACGATACCCGAGCTTCTACCCAAAAGACCTTCACACGCTTGATACTATACTATTTACCATATCTTGTTTGTACAAACCTTTTTGAGGCACTTGACAAGAAAATGCAGAGTCTATATTACGACTAATACTATTAGTCACGAATTAAACGCTTATCAAATATCAATAAAACTAATTTACTAGATTAATTAAATTGAAAATTAAACATCTAAAGAATTGATTAGATTATATAAATGATGGATATATGATTATGTTAAGTTTCGATTTTTACCTTTTTTTTTCCTAAGCAAAATCTGATGTGATATGCTACAAATCTTTCACATGCTAAAAACTAAAATCCCTTTACGAACAGCTCATAAATTATAATTAGAGCCCATAACCTTTTACATTAGAGTAATACTAGTCTTACAAAGAGCCATACAAATAGTCAAATCTAACTCTTAAAAGAAGGGAAAAAGAGAGAGAGAAAGAAGTAATCATGAATTTCAAGGGCTGGATTTGACTCTTTGTATGATTTTTTGTATAGCTCTTTGTAAGGCTAGTATTACTCATTACATTCTATCTATTGATCAAAATTAATAGATAAAATATTGTAATAGACCCTTGAACAGCTCAATTATTAGAGCCCATAACCTTTTACATTTTGACAATCAACATGTTTAATGCACATGCAATGTTGGTCTTGTACACATTTTCCTTTTTTTTTTTTTTTTTCGTAAATATCAAATTTTCTAAATGTCCGATGCATAAATAATATTATTTTTCTAAAACATTTTTTAATACATTAATTGAATTTAAAAAATTTTCTTGCTATCGTTGATGTTTCACCATTATCTTTCAACTAGATAGAAAGCCCGTGTGTTGGGCGGGTATGTTTATAAATTTTTTTTTACATTATTAGTAATTATTTGTATGGCATTGAATTATTTGTATTGAAGTTAATTTTATATTGAACCGATAATTAAAGAAATAAATAATAAAAATATTATGTATTAAATTTGTACAAATTTTAAATATATATTTAATATAAGTGTAAAGATACTGGATACCAACCCCAACTAAAGACATCTACCATACCCACTAAAACCAATCCCCAAATCCAAACAAAACGCGCAACAACAAATCAAAAAACACCTAGAAACCATTTCCAAAATCTGTAGCTAATCCCCAAATGGGCACTCAAATCTGAATCAAAAAAATTAAATTTATGATAAAATTTGTAAAAGAGGAAGCTTTTTTAACATAGCCCTGAACATTCTTGAGGATTTGGTTGAATGACCTATTTTTCTTTGAATCGAGAACTTGGTTTCACACTTATCTTGCTGCTTTGTATCGTCAAAAGAAGAGATACATGGGAGACTGTATACAACAAATAAATCTAACAATGGAAGATGGAACCTCCATCTAACGTATATTCATATTGGTATCAAGGTGCATCGCATCATATGATCTGTCTTGCAATAAATCCACCAAGACCTTCATTGATCTTCAAACTCAATGTAAACAATTGATTTTTGACAAAAGAAAGCTGTTAATTAAGACCAACTCCCTTACATCTTAATATGATAATTATCCAAGTTGAAGGTCAAGAAGTAAAATAATTCATCCTAGGCATGATAGATTAACTGAGACACATTTCCTCACAACAGACAAAAATAAAATACATTTTATACAGCCAAAGAGGTCACAATAATGACGCAAAATTTAATCATGTATAGCTAATATGAGTTACAAAGACAATGAGAAGTTTACATGATCATCAATCTGCATTCCTGATCAATCATCAATCTTTTGCCCAAACCCTTTTGGCCCAGCCCTGGCTCTTACCTTCACCTTCTTGCCAACCTTCTTCTTCTTCTGCTCTCACCTCAATTTCTCAGAAGGAACAGCACTCAAAGGGATATCACATACTGGATAACGTTCCAACTCCTCATCCATAAATTTTTTATTTACGCACTTTCTGCAAATGGCAAAAAGAATTCCAAAAATTAAATCTTTCAGAAAATCTCAGTTAATACAATACCTTAAAGAGAACCCAGAAAAAATTATGCATGTTAAATACACAGCAAATATCCATACCGAAGACCAAAAAAAAGTCAAAATTATTTAACATGAAACACAGACTCGAGAGTTAATATTATTCACCCGTAATGCTTTGCTTGACTCAAACACACATTATCTGAACTAACGAAAGTTTGACCGCAGTTATGACTTGTTTAATTAAAGCTCAAAGCTCGCAATAGCTGCTGTTTTGTTTTCATCCATGACCAAAAAATAAGTTTTCGAAGACAAGTATGCGCAAAATCATCGTGAGCCATACATTCAAATTCACGAAGTCATAAGTAAAACTAACAGAACTCTGAAATTCTTGGATACGTTGCTTCCCAAAGCTGAGATTGTTTCAGCGTCAACCAGCATTCGAGTTTACTTTAAATGACCAAACAGATGAAACGAAATCCAGATTAGAAGAAACTCAAAAGAAGCCAAACCCATATCGTAAAAGATGCAAAACGGGAAGAAAACGAAGAAAGAGAAGAAAAAATTAGAGAATTTGACAGCAGAAAATTATAATCAGAAACCAATCTAGAAACCAAAATTGGAAAAAGATTAAAATTTTCTATCAAATTAAAAAGGACCTGGTGGCTGCTGCGAATTGGAATCCATGGGCGATTGAATGAATTATTGAGGCGTGTGTGTTATCTCTGACCTCGCCTCACACCCACCTATGAAACCCGATATGCTCAGAGAACTCTGAAAAAAAAAAAAAAAATATCATAATAATCATCATAATTATCACAAAACAACGATTGAATCAATTTCCACAAAAAACCCATGAAGCAAAGGTCAATGCAGAAACAAATCAGGAAGCAAGTAGGTACTTTCTTTTCAATGGCGGCGGCAGCGTTTTGAGAGGCATCGAGAAGTGGCTGAGACTGAGGCAAGAGACCTTCACGTCTCTTCTTCAACAAATTATCTTCTCTTTTGTTCTTTTTTATCTCCACCAAATTGTCTTCTCTCCGCCGGTGCGGAGTACAAAGCCAATTCTTCTACACTGAACATTCTCTGAAAGCAGAAGCAAAATCAATTCAAATTCGAATTCAAAATATATCCAAAACTGAATATTTAACCTATGCACGTAAACAAAGTTTTATCGAGATCTTTGGATGCTATTTAATTTTTATTATTATACAAGAGAAGGTGAAGGATTAACTTAAATCTATATATCTTTTAATTAGGCATTTAAATGTTGAATGTATGTTATTAATACTAATAAATAACAATTTACATATAAACAAAGTTTTCTTAAAACCTTTGAAATACTACTATTTAATTATTATTAATATTTATGTGAATGTAAAAGAATTAACATGAGTTTATATATCTTTTAATTAGATATTTGAATCCTCAACATATGCTATTAATACTAATAAATAGTTATTATAGAGCTGCAACTGAAATCCTATATAATAATCATATATTAATAAACCTACTAAAATCCTATGTGGTATCCTACATAGAATCCTACGTGGAGTCCAAATGACAATCGATAGAGAGGTGGGTTACAAGATTATACAGATATATAGATATTTCTTCAACCCCTCAATTATAAAAAAATAAAAAAATAAATCTTAGATTATCAACTAGATCAATATGTTAAATTGTATTAGTTGAATTACCAAACGAGTTCACATGTTAACTAAGGGTGCGTTTGGTTGAAGGAATGTTGTATTACTGTGATTGTTATATTAATGGAAAAATATATTAACTTGAAGATTACTAGAAATGTTTAGGGAAATGTGTTTGGTTAGGTTGGAATAAATTGGTGGGTATGGTATAGAGATTACTAAATTGCCTTCCTTTTTAAAAATTAATATAATATTATTTTTTGAATTATTTCTTTTAACCCCTTACATTTGAGATTTTGCTAAAACACCTGAGCCATATAAAAGTTTAATTTATAACAAAATCACCCCACCCGCCCTAAGCCACTATTGGCTGCTGGGCACCATCGGCAGTCATCGTAATGGCGCATGACCAGCTAGATCTAGTTGTTCATGCACCAATATGGTCGTTTCCGGCTAGATCTATGGCCATAATCTGGCCATTGACAGCCAAATTTATGGCCGTAGATCTAGCCGTTTTTGGCCAGACCCATGGTGGATTTGGCTAGAAACTGCCAAATCGGCGCACGACCAGTCAGATCCAGCCAATCGTACACCGTTTTGGCCACGTTGATAGGCAATGGCCGTTAGTGGTTGCTGGCAGGCGGTGGTGGTCTTAGGTGACCTATAATTTGTTTTAAATACAAGGGCATTACTGTCCAGAAACTTAATTAATTAGGGGTAAAATTGTAATGGTAGGTTCATGTAAATTAATTTCAAAATAAGGGCATTATTGTCCAAAAAATTTATTAATAAGGGGTAAAATTATAACAAAATTAACATCACCAAGTAATCTTAAAATATTTAAGAAAATGGAGGTAACCAGATATCACCTATATTACCAACAGTAATTACTATTGGTTTTGAAAGATTACTGGAATCTTATATTACTTGACAACAAAACGTTGTAATCTAGTAATATAAGATGACATTATCTTAATAATGGAGGATAACCATCAACCAAACACCCCATAAATCTTAACACAACCTGCTTATTGAACCTACTACTTATTTAAATCACATTACTATATGATAAATACAGATTATGTTCAATCATATCAATAAGCCAAGTTCACTAGCATGACTTATTGATGGGATGCACATACACTCATCCACTTGGATGTATAGAACATTAGGGGCCTATTTGGTAGATTATTTGACAAAGGATATTCTGAGTTGAGTTGAGTTAGATTAAATTGAATAGGATATGATTCTAAGAAGAGTAATACTATGTGTACTAACCAATTGTACTAATCCAAGTACTAACATTGAAAATTTGAATTTTTTTTTTTTCAGTTTTTGGGGGGAATTTCAAATTTTCAAAGTTAGTACTTGGATTAGTACAAATTGGTTAGTGCACATAGTATTATTCTTCTGAGAATGTGTTTGGTATAATATATGAAAATTATATCAAAGTTGGATAAAATGCTGAACAGTTGTTTCGTATATTTTTTGAAAACATTTTTTTGAAAACATTCAGATTATTTATTTTAACCCCTACATTTGTTAATTTAGCTAAACACCACCCACAATAAAACTTTAAAAATTAACTAAAACACCTCCCACATTTTTTAAAAATCTGGTCGTCCTCAATGGCCAGATCTTTAGCCGTAGATCTGACTGTTTCCGGCTAGATCCATGGTGAATGTCAGAAATGACATGATCGACGGACGACCGACTAGACCCAACCGGTCGTGTGTCGTTCCAGCTTCAGTGGCCATCGGCGATGGTTGCTAGCTGGGGTGGTTTAATTAATTTTTAAACTTTTATTGTGGGGGGTTTTTAAATAATTTTTTCTATTAGTTGAAAGTCCACCTAAATTTACTTGCTTATCTACATCTCTATTAATTGTAAGTCAACTTTCTCCAAGAGGTCTTGAGTTCAAATTCCCATAACTATTAATAATGGATATCCACTAGAAGTTTATCTGACCGTTAACTTCAGGGCCCCAGGTGATTAGTTGAGGTGTGCGCAAGCTGGCTCGGACACCTCAGATAAAAAAAAAAGTCAATTTTCTGATTAATAACTTTCATATTTTTTCAATAATATATTCACATTAAAAAATTACTTGATATTTACCTAATGTCAAATATTAAAATTATTTATTTGATATTCATTCATACATCTTGAATCAACTCTTCCTATTAAGAGAACCCATTCTATTTCAAATTTCTTCTAAACCTGATTCCATTCCTCATGCTCAAGTTATACTTCTTAACTTTCTGTATACTTCTCGGTTAAATGTTACCTTTCCATTTTTTTTTTTTTTAATTATTACGTACAAAGATAAACACATTTCTATTATATTTGACTAATTAATTAGTTTGATTCAAGTTAGCATAATTATTCCATACTAATTAATTAGTTAAAATTGCGTATTAAGTTTTTAATTACAAAGAATCTATATATTGATCAAGCTGTCACTTCATCTTATTAAAATATGAAAGTTATAAGTTCTTTACTTAAGAATAAATCATGCTACAATTTTTGTTAACTTTTCTTGTACAATTAAATTCATAAATTGTTTCTTTCTTTTCCATACAAATAAGATAGCCTCAAAAATTTATGGCTGTCGTTGATGGCCAGATTTATGGTTGTCGTTAACGGTTAAATCTATCTGACCATAGATCTGACCGAAAACGACCAGACTATGGTAGATTTGGTAGGAAACGGCTAGGTCGGCGCACGACCAGCCACATTGACTAGTGGTGGCCGTTGGTGACAACAGTGATGGCTGATAGTGGTTGCTGGAGTGCGGTGGTAGTTTCGGGTGGCCTGCATTTTGTTTTAAATACAAGGGTATTGCTGTCCAAAAACTTAATTAATTATGGGTAAAATTATAATGGTAGGTTCATGTAAATTAATTTCAAAATAAGGGCATTATTGTCCAAAAGTTTTATTAATAAGGGGAAAAATTATAACAAAATTAACATTACCAAGTAATCTTAAAATACCTAAGAAAATAGAGGTAATCAGATTACCACCTATATTACCAACAGTAATTACTATTGATTTTAGAAGATTACCAGAATCTTATATTACTTGACAATCAAATGTGGTAATCTGGTAATATAAGATGACATTACCTCAATAATAGGGGATAACCTTAACCAAACACCCCCTAAATCTTAACACAACATGCTTATTGAACCTACTACTTATTTAAATCATACTACTATATGATAAATACAGATCATGTTCAGTCATATCAATAAGCCAAGTTCACTAACATGACTTATTGATGGTATGCATATATACTTGTCCACTTGGATAGATAGAACATTATGGGCTTGTTTGGTAGATTATTTGAAAAAGGATATTCTGAAAACTATTTTGAGTTGAGTTGAGTTGGATTAAATTGAATATGATAAGATTCTAAGAATGTATTTGGTATAATATTTGAAAATTATATCAGAGTTTGATAAAATGTTGAATAGTTGTTTGGTATACATTTTTGCAAAACATTTTAGGAAAATATTTAGATTTCTTTCAACACCCTACATTTGTTAATTTAGTTAAACACCCCCCACATTTTCTGAAAATCTAGCCATCAACAACAACCAAAATCTGGCCGTTGTCAACAGTAATCTGGTCATCGTTAATGGCTAAAATCTAGCTACCGCCAACCGCCAGATAGATCTAGATATGGTTGTCAATGGCCAGATCTCTAGCAAAAGACCTAATCGTTTTTTACCAGATCCATGGTGGATCTGGCCGAAAATGACAAGATTAATGCACGACCGGCTAGATCTAGCCGGTCGTGTGTCGTTCTGGCGCTAGTGGCCATTAGCGGTGGTTGTTGGCTGGGGTGCTTTGGTTAATTTTTAGACTTTTATTGTGGGGGTGTTTAAATATTTTTTTTCTATTAGTTGAAAGTCCACCTGAATTTACTTGTTTATCTACATCTCTATTAATTGTAAGTCAATTTCCCCATTAATAACTTTCATATTTTTTAAATAATATATTCACATTAAAAAATTATTTAATATTTATCTAATGTCAAATATTAAAATTATTTATTTGATATTCATTCATATATCTTGAATCAACTCTTCCTATTAAGAGAACCCATTCTATTTCAAATTTCTTCTTAAACCTGATTCCTTTCCTCATGCTCAAGTTATACTTCTTAACTTTTTGTATACTTCTCTGTTAACTGTTACTTTTCCTTTGTTTATTATTGTTGATACAGAAATCTACACCAACCAGAGAATTCCGATCGACCTTGGTGGGATCAGAATGGATGTGTGTGTGATTACGGATAATCAGCGATAGACAAGTATTGAACGTAATAAAGTAAATGGCAATGAGAATTTTTAAAGTGGTTCGGTGAGGTAAACTCTTGAGCCTATGTCCACTGTTTTTTTTTTTTTTTTTTTATAATTTGTTGTGAGAGCTTATAATGAGAATTCTATGGAAATGTCATCACCTTTTATAATGGTTTCATGGAAGACAAAAGGGCGGGGTTTACAACGGCTCACAGCTTGTG